CGCTGAGCCTTGTGAACCATGGCAAGTCCTGCCCATGCTATCCGAAGCTCAATTGTTGCAGAGTCCCCTTCTCTGAGTATTGAAGCCATTTCATTCGCAGCCCATGAAAGTTGTTCAGTGGGATCCTGAGACCTTTCTGCATCCTTGATACGATGAAGCGCAACAACATATTGAGTTGACATGCAATTAGGCTCCAGTTTTGCTACCTTCTCCAAGCACTTTCCAGCACTTCTATGATCACCAGCCAAATAGTATGCATTAGCAAGATTCACCCAGATATGTGCAGCCCTAGGATCTGATCTGACTGCAGCTAACAAACACTCTTTTGCAACATTTGCAGTCGCAACATGAGGCATACAAGCTCCTTCACCAGCGATGACGACCTTGGAGTAGTTGCTCTTATTCTTCTTTGAACTCTCGTCGATGGAATCCTCGATGACACCGGATTCCTACTTAATTGGAACATTCTAGGTGTTGCTAACATGCGCTAGGGCAACGACCTGCTACTCGCCGGACAATTCTGCCATGTCTGGTCGGCGGCCGATTGTGGTTGTAGCTCCTTCCGGGTTCCTTTCCTTGCTGGAAAAGTACAACTCCATCAAGCGCCTTAATTCTCAAACGTCGTCCTTGATCTCGCGCACCTCCTTGCTGTTTTCCACAAGTTTGTGCTCCAGATCATGAACACTAGACGTCAATCGCTCAAAGTCACCCATGACGCCTTGCTTTGATACCAAAATGTTATGGGCCCGCGAATAGGATCTCGTCACGGATCGGTCCACGGGAAAACCCTCTTGCTTTCCCTTGTCCCTCCCTTTTCTTGAGGTACCTATCTTGGCGCCTTGATGGTGATTTGTTCAAGAGATCACCAACTCTCCTTACTCTCTTCTTGACTGAATATTCGATGCCTTTGTTGAATAATAGCAGCTCCTTAAATAGGAGATTACAAGAGGTAGAATCCTACTTTTAAGAAGATTCCTTGTTAATTTAGGAAGACTCCCTACTACTCTATCCTATTAAACTGATAAGATAAGATTGAACTGATAAGATAAGATAAGACTTCCTTAATCTATCCTACTGAACTGATAAGATAAGATAAGACTGAATTGATAAGATAAGATAAGACTCCCTTAATCTATCCTACTGAACTGATAAGATAAGATAAGACTCCCTACTAATCCATACTACTAAACTGATAAGATAAGAATGCTGAATAGATAAGACTCCTACTAATCCCTACTACTGAAAGCAGATAAGATAAGAATACTGAATAGATAAGATAGGATGAGACACTAAATTACTGCTGCTGAGAACACTAAATTACTACCGTTGTTGCCGGCGTCCACATCATGGTTGGAAGATCAGAAGGAATAATGTCTCTGTAACTAATCTCCAGTTTGCAGATGACATTATTATTTTTTGTGAGGGAAGTAAGCCAAGAAGAGTGGGAAACCTTAAGGAGCTAATATTACACTTTGAGAGAGTTTCCAATTTAAAGATCAACTCTGAAAAAAGTTGTGTGGTAGGGGTCAATCTGGATGACAATGAAGTTGAGTCTATTGCTAACTCTTTGGACTGCTCTATTTCTTCTTGTCCCTTGACCTATTTGGATTTACCTTTAGGTGGGAATCTTAGGGAAAGTAGATTTTGGTACCTAGTTGTTGAGAAATTTGAAAGAAAGTTGGCAGCTTGGAAAAAGAATTATACCACTATGGGAAGAAGGGTAACTTTGATTAAGGTTGCACTTGCCAATTTACCGGTCTATTACCTCTCTGCATTTAGGATCCCCCGTAGGGAGGTTAGGAAATTAGAAAAAATGATGAGAGATTTCCTTTGAGAACCAGGGGAGGAGAAAAAGGACCACCTTAGTTAATTGGGAGACAGTTTGTTGGAGTAAGAGGCAGGGGATCTGGGATTAGGGAATTTGGTCTTAAAAAATGAAGCTTTATTGGGAAAGTGGCTATGGAGATGGCCTTTGGAAAGAGAAAGTTTGTGGCACAGGGTTGTGCTTAGTATTCATGGTTGTTCTGTCTCTGGTTGGGATGTTGGGGTATCTCATCGGGCTACCCAAACAACACCGTGGAAGGCAACACATGGCGTCCTCCCCAAGTTCCTTCATTTTGTAAGGTATGATACGTGCTCTGGAAATTTGGTTCTTTTTTGGGAAGACACTCGGGTGGCTAATCAACCTCTAAAAGACCAATTTCTTTCTCTGTATGCCCTTTCCCTTTATAAAAAGGAGGTTATCTCTGTCCTTACTCCTCCAGCTTTACCTTTATCCTCAAGTTGGGACTTTGGTTTTCGTAGGGGCTCAAGGGAGGAGGAGCTTGCTTGTGTTACTGAACTTCTATCCATTCTAGAGAGTGCTTGTCTGGACCCCTCTTCCCCTGATAAAAGGGTGTGGACTCCTATCCCAAAAGGTTCTTTCACTTGTGCATCCTTCTTCAAATCCCTTTGTTTGAGCACTTCTTTTAAGCCTTTCCCAATGAAAGAAGTTTGGACAAAGCCTGTGCCCCCCAAAATTGTTGTTTTCTGCTAGGAAGTATACCTTGGTAAGATCAATACTTTGGAGAACTTACAAAGGAAAAAGCCTTTTATTTGTTTGTCCCCAAATTAGTGTGTAATGTGCAATTCTCATAGTGAGGACTGTTACCACTTACTGGTTTCTTGTTCCTTTTCTACAGCTCTTTGGGATTGGATGTTTGTTTTGTTTGGATGTAGGTGGAACCAACCAACAGAGGTAAAATCATTATTCGCACCAACCACCTTTGTTTGCCTAACAAAAAGAGGAAGGAGTATGTAGAGATGTTTCAAAGCAGCCACCTTATGGACAATTTGGGAAGAAAGAAACGCTAGAATTTTCCAAGATAAAGAGAGGTTCATGACAGAAGTGAAGGAATGTATCTTAACCAGGACTATCCATTGGCTGAAATCCTTGGATTCTTTCAGCTCTTTTTCATTTGATGATATCTGGAGAAATTGGACCACAGTTGCACACACTTCAGTTAGAAAACCAGAGCCACTACAGTTTGGGTAACTCCCCCATAAGGTTTTTCTAAACTGAATTTTGACGGTAGCAGCCAGGGTAATCCAGGACCATCTGGCATTAAAGGAGTTTTGAGGAATGAAAATGGAAACATCATATCCTTTTTCTTAGGCCCGATAGGGATAGGGGACTCTACAAGAGCTGAGATTTTGGCTGCAGTACAAGGAATTCAGATTGCTAATCAACTAGGAGTGGAAAACCTATTGATTGAAGGGGATTCTAAGGTGATTGTGGGCTAGTTGTCAAATCCAGACTCAGTTGTTTGGAGTTATAGGGATCTCATCAAAAAAGTTAAATGGTTAACAAGGCACATAACTTTTGGCTCATCATCTTGCTAAACAGGGATCTACTAGGGACAATTTATTTTGGGCAGCATTGTAATTTTATTTCTGATCTCTTGTAACGGTTAGGGGAGGCTGCATCTCATGCCTCTCCAAGGGCTTCTTGTAAAATCTATTTCCTTTTGGTTAATGAAATCATTTTCAATTATCAAAAAAACAAAAGAAATCTACATAAAATCTCCAAAAGCACCAAAATCAAGGAAATCTACATCAATACTTCAAGAAGTACGAGAAACACACCAACAGTCCTCGTCTTCACCGAATTCGACTGTTAATTAGAGGTTACTCACGTCATCGAGCAAAAATCAAAGAGTTCATTCCCTTGTGTATTTTCTTTATTACAAATTTATTTTTATAATTTGTCTCCATATTTTGTGTTAATCAAATACACGAAATTTGTGTCGACACTATGCTAATGTATGGATCATTAATGAGTTATCAAATGGGCTATGTCATTTTGATCCAAAAGCATCAAAAGAGAACACGGGTGGATGCTCATCAGAAAATAAGGGGTAAAGTCCGACTCCTCTTCTCTACCTGCTCCATTCTGAGTAGAATGCAAACATAGTCACTTGAAGCCAAGCTATTTCTTGGAAAAGAGACTGTATGGAGATAATTTTGGCTTCCAGACTTCATAAAAGCAAAAAAATAAAATAAAAAAAGGAGGGCAATTGATATCAAAGAGTTGGAAAGAAAACGATCTCTGTACCAAACAGCAAATTTTCTTTCCGTACTTCCCCGCCCTAACCATTCATCTCTCACATCTATCCTTCTATGTGTCAAAACTGCTACCTAGAATAATGTCAGAAATAGTTACGACCACTAAAGAATTTTCCGTCAAAGCTAATAGTTTTTTCTTTTTTCTTTTTTTTTATAGATATTCGTCAAAGCTATTAGTTGTAGATACTAGATAGAAAAGCCCAAATTCAACTAAAAGCCTAATCTATAAGGGGAGGAAGATGGTAGGTTCAGCACGAACGAACAGAGTTTGGCACCTCCTGAGAAATGTGGAAAGGTGGAAAGGTCTCATTGAAACCCATTTCAAATATGAGAGTAATAAAGAATGACAAATAAAAGATATATATAACTGAACAATATGAATGAAAAGACAAAACCGAATGATCCAACTCTCCGAAATCAAAAACTGAACACTCCAATCCCACAATTCAAAACACCCGTCGCAGCAGGAACGCGAACGTCTTTATACCGAAAAATATACGGTGCTTTCTTATCTATTCAGAAAGAGAAAATGAAAAGACGAAGAATATGAAAGGGATTTCGTTCTAGACGGATGGATTAAAACGATTAAAGGGAACGAATCCCCCTGTTTTCGAATTGAAAAGATAGGATGAAGAAGATAAGATTATATCAACTAAAGAAAAATAAATAAAAGCAAATATAATAAATCTCTTCAGATGAGTCCAAATTCATACCTCAGAGCTTGTCAACTCCAGTGCGTACGTCCCCAATTAGCCGTTTCTTTGCTTCAACTCCAGTGTAGACAAGAGAACTACACAGAACGATCACATTATCTCAGATCTGAGAAAAAAAAACCCATAAAAATTGCATAGATAGGATCGTCTATGCCAGATCTATCATCCACCTACCTCCGACGACCTTCGCGCCTTTTCCAGGAACAACCGATCAGAGATGAGGCGCCGCAGCTGCAAGGGTTTTAGAGACGGGATAGGCGAGGTGAGAAAAAATGGAGTAAACTAATAAGTATTAACCAAACTATCTCCCTTCGATTTCCTTTTTCTCTTCTCTGATTGTAATTGGGATTTGGGAGGTGATTTCAGCGTCCCTCATTGCCGTTTACTCGTTACTTCGGATTATTTCAGAACAACTTTTTTTTTTTACTTTTTTGTTTTTTAACCTTTCTCATTTTTTTAACGGTCAAACCACCAAACATGACATTTTCTTTCTTGGTAGACTAGAATATGGGATATGGAAAAATCAATTGTGTGGGAAAGATATGGTATGGAAAGAGTTTTGACCAATCAAAACTCACCCATGAATTTTGATAAATAACACGTGATTGGCTATTGATTCTTGTTTATTGATCAATTGTTTTTCAGATATTATATCTTTTTTATAGGCATCAAACAAGCAAATAAAATAAAGTTTAGAAACAAAAACATCTGCATTGGTGACCCATGTTAGCCAAACGATCTACCGTGAAGTTTGCTTCTCCGAATATGTGATTGTAGGGTATGTTGCTGTTGAAACAAGCAGGAATATCTTGGCATTCTACCATTAGATTGCTAACATTCCATTCCATGGAGGATACACATGAGCCCTAGGAGAATTTGCAAGTGACCTTACGGGCTCCTACTATAGCCCAAGCCTCAGCCTCATTGATAGAAAAAGAACAGCGTAATCGACGCTTTAATGGCCTTATAAACCTCAAGGAATATAAAAAGAATTAAAATTTATAAATGATAAAAATAACATATGATATTTCGAGATAAAAGGCTTTTAGCATTCAATGAAATTATAATTAATCAACAAACGACCATAAACTTTTTATATTTCAAATTTCAAGATTCAAAATTATTAAATTTTTTAAATGACCAATGTTTTAGATTATCAAAAGTTATTAGGGTTGTTCATAAGAAGGCCCAACCCGATCAAACTGATCAATCTGGACCGACCCAACCCGAATCAGTCGGGTTATCTTCAGCACCGATCGGTTTTGGGTTGTAAAACATCATAAACCATCAGGGTCGGTTTCGGTTTTCACACAAGAAAACCGAAACCGACTAATTGTCCATTTATGAAGTTTGAATTAATTAAGCCCCCATAACTAATTGTCCCTCTTCAAATCTATTACATTGGCTAGGTTAATGATTGTAATTAACTGTCCTGAAATCTCTCTACAAAATTCACCCAAATCACAATTAATACAATTAAACTTCAAAATGAATATAATCAAAGGGATAGGTTGGTGGTTTTGGAGATAAAACTTAATTACTGAAAAGATATATAACATATATACCTCTATAATAGGCATATTATTATACATGGGTTTTGCTCTTTTTCTCCTCTCCAAAGTCCAAACTGTGGACTAGAAGTATATCCTGTTTATCAAAAACAAGGCTTTTCCCGCGTTAACTACCTCACATGCTGTGGTGCCACAGTCCCCATATATATATTGTAGTTGAGTTTCTGTCAAGCATGGTTGAACTTAGAGCTGAAACTGACTCAAACCGACCCAACCCGATTCAAACCGACTAGGTCAGTTTTGCTTAACACTGGGTCGGTTTCGATTTCAAGTTCAGGTAACCCGACCAAGTCGGGTCGATTGGAAAAACCTCAATAAATCGACCCAATCCAACCCGTAAACAGCCCTAAAAGTTACCCATGATTAAAATTTATTTCATTGAAGGGATCACCATATGAATAATCCATATAATTGATAATAGATTTTTAAGTTGTCCTACAGTTTAGAAAAAGACTTAGTTGAGGGGGTGTTGATAGTGTGGTTTCTATGTGTGTTATTTTTTAATCAACTATAGGCCCTATTATGGCGTGGTTTTATTTTGACAAAATAATTATATCATCTGAAAGAAAGGTTAATAAGTTATTTTACATTTGGCATTCCAATTGGCATATAATCAAAATAAACATGATCTTTGAACAAAATTGTTACCTTCCTATGACAGTCAATGAGCTATAGTATTAGCAGTTCTAGGTAAGAGTGTCAATGGACCACTTTTGGATTGGATCCCATCTGGTCCAAAATTAATTTGGATGGATTGAACAAACCAAGAAGACATAATGGATTGGACCAATCTAGTCCTAAATATTTATTAGATTGGATTGGACCTGGTCCATCCATAATAAATTTATATTGGATTGGGTTGGATTAAGCCAATATTTGATCCATTGATATAAGATAAGAATATAGGTGTCAATGGACTGGATTTAGGTTGAAACCAATCCAAATTAAAATGAATTTGAATAGAATGGATGGTCCAAATATTGAATTGGACCAGTCCAAAATTATCCAAAATATTCATTGGATTGGATTGAACTTGATCCATTTATAATGGACTCACATTGGACTGGATGGGATTGAAACAAATCCAGTCCAATTGACACCCCTAGTTCTAGGAATATAGTGTCTGTTTAGGAGGGCTTTTGGGATGTAGTGATAAGCCCCACATGGGAATGCCAGAAGTTGTGTTTGGTGAAAATCCGAAAAACCATTCACTGTATTCCAAATGCCTAAAATACAAATGAAGTACAAAGTTACTTCAGGTAACCCTCCCAAAAGCCTTTCACCAAGCTGTGTTTGGTGAAAATCCCAAACACGGGGCTCAACCACCACTGCTCAATCACCTCATCTCACCTACAACGCAGAAGCCCTCCCAAATGGGCCCATAATAAAAATGAATCGGCTGAACTTTCTTCAAAAGTCTTAAATTCTAAAAAGAAAGTGAAGAGATTGCCATTGAATCGAAGCCTCATTCTGAAATACTTTGATAAACAACATCCATGAATTTTGATAAACACCATATTTACTATCGCGTTTATGATTCTGGTTTATTATAGTCGAATCCATTAAGATTTCATGCATAAGACGATCGTGTGCCAATTCATATTTACAGCAACCAGTAGACCTTTTATATACTGCCATGAGTTCAGCCTTTTCTGGTAACTTTGAGCTCTTACATTGTATGATTATTAAATATTTTTTCATTTCAAGCATACCCGATATAATAAAGGGAGAATGACTATTCAGCCCACCTCAGAATTCTTAGTCCTACCATACAAGATGGGATGAATTCTGACCGTGGATAGATGCCAAATTCACAGGCAAAATTCGGTTCATAGGGGGGCTACTAGTAGACTATGGGGGTTGTAATTTCAGAATTCTGCAGTGGGCTACAATGTACTTTTCCATATAATAAAAGGCAATGGCAATCCATTAATGGCAACTAGAATGGTAGATCTAAAAGAACTTGTTAACTTTTCTTGTTACTTGTTAGGTTAGTCCCCATGGCTTTAGGGTTTTCTTAGGACTTTTGTGATATCAGAAAGGATGGCAGGAACAAGTTCTCATTTTCAACACTATTAGGGACACCCCCTGATCTCCCATATCCCCCTATTTAAGGATGCAAGCAAATTAGATCAATTCAAATCAGAGTATATGCAAGTTCAATCCAATAATATAAATTTTGAATTCAATCCAATCTCACAAAGGTTAATTCAAATTTGAATCCGTTACGGATGTAGGATATGTGGATATGATCTGATCTGATTTAATTTATGTAAATTTTAACAAATTATTAAAAGGAAAAAACATTATAATCTATATAAAGAAAAATAAAAAATACAAGTATTTTTTCAACTATTTTCGTTATATATATACATGTCTTTTTATAAAAAAAAATAGTATAAATTAAAAAATTAATATAAGCATATTTATAAATAAATAAATAGGGGGATATTAGGATAGGGGTGATCGATTTTAATCTGTTCCTTTTATCTTATCCAATTTGAAAATCCAATAGGGGGATATTAGGATTCGACAAAATAGGATTGGATTTGAATTTGGAATTGGGTCATGATCTAGTCCATTTTTACACCCAATATTTATTCTAACTAATGTTTTCAACCCACCAACCCGACTAGTTGAACCGTTTGAACCATCATTCGGTCAAAATTCTAGGTCTGATTTGCATGAAACTTGCCATTTAGTAGAAAATTGTTGACCTCATCAAAAACCATCCAACTCGAACAATTGAATCGTTGACCTGTTTGACCCGATCAAGGTCACGGATTGCACACTCAATGCATGTGCAAACTTCTGGAGGTTATAACTTTGTGCTTGGATGTCTGATTTGGGTGATCTTTTTTTTTTTATTTTGCATAATTTTTCAAGATTTATGCGTCTGAAGGTGCCAAATGTGCCTTGTCTCGTTATTATTGTAAAAAAAAACCTTTTTTGGCCTCAAATTGCAAATTTTTACCATTTTTTTTACAAATAAAAAAATATAAATATAAACTGAATATAAATAATATTTATATAAAGAGGCAGGAGTAACCAGAACCAAAAACCATAATTAACAGGTTCATTAAGTGAAAAACTACACTACAAAGGTAGCAAATCCCTCTTTACAAAATCGATTGGCAACTGAAATGAATTTCCACATACCAGTATAAAAGTACAAAAGGAAAAACAAACTAGCAAAAAATGGCATAGCATCATTGCTCCCATAAAGGTAAAAAAGAGAAAGATAGACAAAGAAGCATAGTGTTACAAATACAGAGGGAGATTATGCAAATCTCTACCAATGCATATTGGATTAAAAATTTTGGAAACACCAGATTTTGAAGAATGAGGAGGGGGGGGTGTATAGGAACTACAAGGGAGTCATTCATATTCAGGACTTATATGTTATGAGACATATAACGGGGGTTTAGGACTCTTATGTCCACTTAACCCGAGCTGAGTTTGAGGTAGTACTACAAGGACCTTAACTGGATAAATCTCTTATATACAACAGTCTTTTTGTAGGAGACTCCTAAATATTTTGGGATGGTTGAGGAAGAATATTTTAGCCCATGGGAAATATAGGTGCCTTATAAAGGAACTAGGAAAGTTGGACGCTGAACTGATAACTTAATTTAAATGTGCTATGAGGTCTGCACATGTGGTCACAGATGTGTTAGCAAAACCTAAGAAAAAGAAAAGAAACAATTGCTTAACTCCATTTTGTAAATAACAGCCCACCTCCTACCTCCATTCTATTTCATTTGAAGCAGTGGAAGACACTTCATTTTACTTCTCCAAACCAACTAAATTGATTGGGTTTGCCACTAGGTTTTTATTGTTTTTGATCATTTAAAGTTGACAGAT